TTGTGCGAAACGCGATTTTCCCGTCTTCCAAAGCATAAAAACTAGGAAGTTAAGAACGAGCAGAAAATGCTTCAAGTCAGACAGACGAATTGATGTTTAAGAAGGCAGTGAGGCGCTGAGTGGACAATTTTATAAAGTAGAAAATGACGCAAATTTTTCTRAAAAATGCATTTTTCTGAACAAAACTTCTATTTTTCATAACTTTTCACTCCATTTTTGCGTACCCGTACTTTTCTGCTACGGGCACCTCTTTCAATTAACCCCATTTTTGCGTGCCCGTACTTTTCTGCTACGGGCACGTCTCAATTTTACTCCATTTTTGCGTAYCCGTACTTTTCTGYTGCAGGCACGCACTTTTYAACTCTACGTACGACSTTTCGTCGTACCTTTTTATTTAACTCAAGCAAAAMAATKTSTATAAACTTCATAAACATATTGATCAAAATTGCGTATAATTTTGCTATCRWTYTGTGGTTTAACAAGCCACGAAAACCACACCTACAACCCACGYCTTGTTCGATATACGATGGGTAATAATGAAAGCAAAASAATCATGTTACATCACGTTTTTTTGCTTCGTCATCCCATAACACGCTTTAGCAGCTGCTAGTTTTCCTATATACACRGTGGTCGCAAAAAAAACACTTGAAAAWTKAATAGGAWTTTTTTTCAAATGGCTACTTACAATATTGGCAAAGAACGAGTCCTGTTTGAGATCGTCGTCCTTTAAGGTGTACCTCCGAATGAGCGTATCGGTGTTTAGATCGTAAATTGCAATGGCAGGCGATGAAACCACGTTTGGTTCCCCTAAGATATCAGCCAATCCGGTGTCCATCACCCAAAGTCGGTCGCAAGCATCCACAAACACTCTGTTAATCAGCAAAGAAATTTAAAAAATATTTAAGCACAAACGTTTTGTTGTAGCTACCTGAAAACTGATACAATGTGGTTTTCACTTTCGGGCTTTTCTCCTTTCTTTGGTAAGCTGTTGGCTTTCCAGTCAGGGTAAGGGATTATGGGGGCGGTTTTGTTGATTGGCTCATCTAGAGAAACGTACCCTAAAGAGGCGGCCACGCCACTTTTCCATCTAATAAAACCATTACAAATTCATCTTTTGAGTACTAAGTAAGTTAACGAAAATTTGTATTCTCCAAGCACTGGAACCTCGGTGGAAAAATTAGGATTTTGCTTCATTAGCCATTCATATATGAGCGGTCTGCACTTGGTCAACAGCAACCGTACAAATGCAATCGTTGCAGTTTCAGTTTTGAATAATAATAGCAAAAAAATGCTGAATGAGCGTGATATAATAGCAAGCAATTAAAACACTTAAAATTATGGTTGAAATCAAGCGCGAGAAATGCTCAAGGGTTCAGGGAGAAAGAACTATTATTATTGCCATTTACCGTGTTAATTATTGGGCTAATTACCGGCCATCACTAGCTATTAAGGAAAATGAGCTGTTGGGTAACTACATTTATTGAAAATTGCACTTGTTACGGCTAATGCTTGAAAACGTGGCGATAGTTGATAGAAATTTGAGCCTGAAGTTTCGCTAGCATATTCAGAAATTGCTCGTTTCGGAACGAACAATCATCTACGTTTACTGAGTACACGACGCTCGAAATAATATAGTTGAAAATCCAAGAACTCTCAAATTAAATGTTAGTGAACAAGGGAAGATTTTTGTGTTTTTAGTTAAGAACCCAAAAATCCCCCAATTTGTTGCGTTAACTACAAACTAACGAATTACCTTGGAATAGTAACAAACAGCTTATTCCTCCACCGGTCGAGTCCCAATGGAAGATTATTCTTGGGCACATAATCTCCATTTTTGAGTGCTACATTTTCGGCGTCTTCATTGGGCCAGGAAAAAGTTAACTCTTTCCACGCAAAGACTTTCTCAAGGTTGGCCAAAGCGGCCACTTGGCAGCCGAAAAACGCGACCAACACGAAACATTTTACGGGCAACATGTTGATGACGGTTCACCAACAACTGACCACACCAGTCGAAGAGAATGGTTTTATAAGGAAGAATGATGGGGCAGCAAAGTGTTGCTATTTTCGATAGCTCAGCTAAGGTCAAAGAGGTCTACTGGTTTCGACTCTTAAGCTTCAAGAGCCTTGATTGTTTCTTGCGCGGATTTTTCCACTTGTTGGCCGAAATACTACGAATTATTTTATAACAAACACGAAAAAACGCACTGATTATTTTTAACTTTGTTGGGCAATGACTAGCTTTTTCCAGCCTCTAATTTTGAATAAGGTCCCAAATATGGTTGGAAATCCACTTCATTTGCTTCAACTTTAATGTTAGCGTGTAGTTAGCAATTGGAAACGAAGCGCATTTCATTCGATTAGGGATGCCATTGTTTCGTTGCAACATTGTAGATGATTATATACAGGGTGTCCAATCTACAGATTTTCCTTGGCTAGGCAATACAGTGTAGATAGACAGTAATGCAGTAGATATGTTTGAACAAACCTGTTTTACGACTATTTTTATGATTTTTTCTGCTAAATAGGAGTTCCAACTGGAGCTTTCACGCGAAAAACGTTGGCTTTTGATGCAAATAATGTCGACGAGCAACATTAAAGTTAAACTGGAATTTGTGCTTTTGCATTTTTAACAACAAAAGCCTAGTTTCCCTGGAATTTGCTTCTTGACCTTAAACTCCAAATATTTTCTGTCGTTTTTCTCACCTCTTCTGTCTGAAATGTCTGTCTCTTCTGTTATTGTGAGTCTTAATTGTCGGTTTTAGTCTCTCTTTCCTCGTATTAATAAGGATTGGAAATTAACTCTAATTCTGTAGAAGAAAGAAAACCAACATTTGGAGTTTAATCTCGAAATATTCTTTGTGATGTTTCCCATCGCATCTAAAATTGAAATTAATTTATTAATGGTCACTTTATAGGTTTCGAAATCGTTTCAAGTTTTGATCATTAATTTCTCTTTCTCTCTAGCTTTATTACTGATTGAAAAAGCTCTTAATCTATAGAAGAAAGTTAAAAAACTCGGGATAACTGATGTTGATACTGGCAAAAATACAACACCCTGTACCTTAGAAAAAAGCTACACCTGTTGACTTAATTTGCACAAAGTTGACTTAACTGGAACAATTGATTATTGGGAATTCAAGGCAAGTTTTAAGAGCGTTTTTTTGCTTCTTCTATACCAAGTCAGTGGAAAAATGCTTCCTACGTCCAAATCTACCAAATAATCGCCTGCTAATCGCAGTATTTTTTAATGTGTTTTTAATTGCAAATTTTTCAAAGTACCTCGTTGCAAAAGAACGTCATTGCCACACTTTTAAACAATTTGGGTAGCGAATTTTCCCACTGGCGGTCCCTCGTATATCCACATAGTTAATTATGCATGAAACGATGTGGAATTTAGCTGGTGATTATACGGGAAACAGGGTTTAATTAATTAATAAAAAAAACTGTAATTTGCATACAGATTTGGTGCGGTTGAGACTTTTTCTTGGGTTTGTTCAAAATCAAGGCCAGTGAACAAAATAAACCGAAAAACCCCTTTTGGGATTTAACAACCAAATTGTTGTGCTTGTAGACAAAATGTCGCTTTGATCGACAATTTATTCATGCGATGGCCATTAGGAATGACTCTCTTGCACAGTGCTGGCAGATTTAGCGATTGGCATTGAACTAGATGACTTTCATTAAAGGCAAATGTAATAAATACATTGGCTATTGGTACATGGTTCAGTCTTAAAACAGCCTTAAGCTTTATAGAATGCAGATCGCAGATTATTCAAACCAGACAAAAGCCATTTATTGTTGTTGCTGCATCTATTGGGCGCGGCCGGTATGGTTTTTAGCGCAAATAAAAACTAGGCTACACACACAGGAAGTCAACTGAATCAACAAATTTCAAAAAAAGTTAATGCTGGGAAGTGCATTTAATTTTATTATTCAAATTGGAACGACGAACCGAAGCTCCTAAATCTATGTAGGCCTGGGTAACACAGTGGATATACAGGTGTTCACACAGCGACACACGTTGAAAAACACGCTAGAAGTTTCAGATCGGAAATAATARACATTTTCGACACATTTTAAGCGTTTTTTGAGCGTTCGCGATCTTTAGCCGACGATTTCTTCCTTGTTATTGACCCAAAAACTTTATAAACGCATATTTGTGACCTTTTTACGTCGAACGGAATCGATTGAGCTCAAAAAACRTGCRTGTGAAATTTTKATTTTTGGTCGAAATTTTTCCAAGGGTGGGGGTCGATTTTTTGAAAAAATRAAAATMRTCTGAAAATGTATTAAATTTTACATCATTTTCAGCTCATGGACACGAGGAATGCATCGAGCTCATTGAAAAACATGCTAGAAGTTTCAGATCCGAAATAATAGACATTTTCGGCACATTTTAAGCG